CTAGAGAGAGAGAGAGAGAGAGAGAGAGAGAGAGAGAGAGAGAGAGAGGAGCCCCCAACATCATTTTCAGGCTGTGGCCCTCCCCTAGCCTCAGCTGACATGGATCATGGACATGTGTGTGCCTAGTGTGCCCAGGGAGGTCCCTAGACACAACCCAGGACCTTTCTCGCATGAGTCCAGGCACGTCACCACTGTGCTACTGCCTGGTCCTTGCTGTACTTCTTTTTTTTTCCTTTTCCTTCCTTAGTCTTTTATTTGTAAAACGTTGATATTTAACAATAAATACAGAAGAAAAGCAACAAACAAGTAGTTGACTTGCACTGTGGGTGGGAAACTCAAGCCAGGGCAGAGCAGAAGTCCCTGGTACTCCGGAGGATGTGCTGTGGGGCCACCAAGCGTCTGCAGTGTGAAAGGCACCTCTTTCTCCTCCCACAGGTCTCAAACAGCTTAGATGGGAGGCCGAGCGTGATGACTGGTCCTAATTTTTGCTATTCAGCCATTTTTCTTGATCTTGTTCTCTGATCCCGTACATTCCAGATTGTTCGATAGATTTGTAATAAACTTCTAAGATGAAAGGGAATTTCTTGTTCATTGTATGCCTGAAATCTTGGCTTGTGTTCATCTTAGTAAACAAAAAATATGCTCCGAAAACGCCTAGAAGTTCAGCTACTAAAACTCCTTTAAAGATCTTCTTTGCCAGTGGTTCCATAGTGCGGGCCATCCTGGGAAACCGAAAGTGAGTTCAGCGAGCGGAAGCCGAGCGCTCCCCACCCGAGCCCCAGCTCTCCAGACTCCTTGCTGTACTTCTTAGCTGGGCCCAGTTGCCCCCAGGGGTGAGGGGCAAAGGTAACGTGGCAGCCCTACCTATCAGACGGACACAACCAACTTTGAAGAGGACTTTCACTTCTTTCTTTCTTCTTTCTCTTTCTTTCTTTCTTTCTTTCTTTCTTTCTTTCTTTCTTTCTTTCTTTCTTTCTTTCTTTCTTTCTTTCTTCTTTCTTTCTTTCTTTCTTTTTCTTTCTCTTTCTTTTTCTTTCATTTTGGAGAGGGTTTTGCTATAGGGCATATGCGCTCACCAGAAAGACAGAGAGAGACAGACAGAAAGCGAGAAATCACCCCCTGGAGGGATGGCCACACCGCAATCCCTTCTCCTCCATTCTCCTCTCGGGATCTTGGGCACGCATGCACATGCGCCCAGTGTGAGTTTAAGCCACCGGGTCCAGGACTCAATCCGTGGTCGACTACATGGGAGTTCAGAGTCATAACCATTATTCCATCTGCTGGTCCCAAGGGCTTTCATTTCTTAAAGAATTGCATTGATTTAATTTGTGCCATGTCCTCCCACAGATATCAAGGTTCCTAAAGTTTTAAACAAAAATGACAGGCCAGCCGGTGGCATGGTGGTTAAGGAAACTGGATCCCAATAGACTCAGCAGTTTGCTGGGTGCATATGTTTGTGTGCCCAAAATCCCAAGAGAAGGGAGAAATGGAAGAGAAGGGATCGTGGCATGATCACCCATGAGGAGTGCTTTCTCACTTTCCCTCTCTTCTCTGTCTCTCTCCAATGAGCACACATACCTTCTGGCAAATTTCAAAAAGAAGAAAGGAAAGAAAGAAAAAGAGAAAGAAAGAAGGAACAAAGGAAGGAAGGAAGGGAAAAAATAATGCCCGAGTACCCCCAGCGAAGGGCCATGATGCCATCTAGGAACAGACTGTTGAGAAGCCATGGGGTGGGGGGCAGGGGGCTGGGGGAGGGGAACTGTGGCACTGAAGCCCCACCCCAACGCCTTCTGTGTTCTGAGGTGGACAGGAAGAAAGAAAGGTGGGACTGGAGCTTAAAGGATGTCATCAGAGCATGGCCTGAGGGAGCCCTGTGGAACTTCATCCCTTTCTGGCAGTCCAGCTCCTGGGGGAAGCCTGCATGGTGGTTAGCATTCCGGTGCCATCCCCAGACTACCTGGGTTCGAATTAGGCTCTGCCACTTAGCTGTGTGATGTTGGGCAAGTTACTTAACCTCTCTGTGCTTCAGTTTCCTCATCTATAAAGTAGATATAGTAATGGCCCCTTCCTCATCTGATTATTGAATGAATTTACGTGAAAGGAGGTGCATAAGCATGGGTTTAACATGTCCAGAAGTATCTGGCTCTATGAATGGGAGGTGCTGGTTTTCTTGTTTCTTTTTAAATTTTTATTGTCATTAAGACCTGCATCACCCTACATGGGGCAGACCTTCAGCTTTCGTCAAATCACAGAACATTTCACCCTTCCTCCCCACCCGTGATGACGTGAACCAGAATATAATGAACTTCAGCGTTGTGCCTTCCTTGTCTCTTCTCTAAGTCCTTGCTGCCACAGTGTAAGCCCCTCTGCGCTTTTCCTGGCCTCAGTGGAAATGGAACGCAGCTGCTCAGGACTGCAGCGAGAAGTGCTTTCTGTGCATGGTGAGCTCTGAGTGCAGAGCTGCCAGGGTGAGCATGACACGTAGACATGGAGCCCTCATGCCTGTCCTGCGGGAAGCCCCACCTCCCTCTCACGCTCCCTCCTGGTCTCTGGAGGTCCTCCTGGGCAGGGCCATGGAAGACAGGATGGAGCAGAAATACCTATGAACAGCTTCCTCCAATGCAAGGCAGGAAACTCTGGTCCCTGCCCCTGTCCCTGCCCACACTCCTGCCTTCCTCTTTAGAACCATACATAATGACTCCAGTGACAGAGTTCACATTCTACCCTTGTCTTTTCTATGTTTCCTGTTTGGGAATCTTGACCCTCTGTCTTATTACTTCTTTTTTTTTTTCTTTATGAGTGGTAGAGGGACAGAGACAGAGATTTTTTTTCCCCAAGGTTTCTTTCTTCCATGAGTTAGAAAGATACAGAGATAACTCTAACAGGGTCTTCATATCACAATCCACCTCCAGCTTCATCCAGCCCCAAATCATGGGCACACATGTAAAAGCACAAAGGTAGTCTCCTAGGTTGTCTTCTAAATGCTATATTGTTTTTTCTCTTGCATTTCGAGATCTACAATCCATCTGGAATTGACTTTCATATGTGGTGTAAATTAGGGGTTAGTTTCTTTTATTTTTCTTTTACATCTAGATATCCACTTGCTCCACCATCATTTACTGAAGTCTGTCCTTTCTCTCCTGTATTGTACTTGTGCCTTTTCCATAGTCCAGGTGACTATATAAGTATGAATCTATTTGTCTGTCTCTACACCAATGATAAGGTATCTTAATTACTATAGTCTTATTGGTCTCAATTTTGGCAGTGTAAGTCTTCCACTTTTGTTCTTCTTCAAGATTGCCTTGACTATTCTTGGACTTTGGATCTATGAAATGACTATTCACACATATTTTGAGTCAACCTACCAATTTACACCAAGGGAGAGCCTGCTGGGATTTTGAATGGATTGCCTTAAATCTATAAATTAAATGGGGAGAATTAACATCTTCCAATTCATGAACATAGTATATCTTTCCATTTGTTTGGTTCTTTTTTTTTTTTTTTTTTTGAGAGCTCTTTTTTGCTATAGGGCACATGCACATGCCAGAAAGACAGATAGAGACAGAGAGACAGAAAATGAGAAAGCACCCCCAGGGGAGATGGCCACACCACAATCCCTTCCCCTCCATTCTCCTCTCGGGATCTTGGGCACTCACATTCACTTGCCTGGTATGAGTTTAAGCCACTGGGTCTGGGATACAAATCATGGTCACCTACTTGGGAGTCCAGCGACATAGCCATTATGCCAACTGCTGGTCCCTTGTTTGTTTTTTTTTTAGATATCCCTCAGCAATGCTTTATAGTTTTCAATAGATTTAGTCCTAGGTAATTTCATATTCTATGATACTTTTGTAAATGGTATCACTTACAATTATCCTTTTCTATTTGTTTTATGTAGAAATATGGTTGGTTTTTGTAAACTGTATTCCAGTGACATTGCCAAATAACTTAATAATCATAATAATTCTTGTTTATGCTCTGTTAGGAAAAAGATGCTTTGGGGCATGGACCAGCCATGGTGAAAGATCCATCAGCTTTGAACTCTGGGGTGGATATGGAGGTAGAGAGGGAGGAGGAAGATAGACTCAGCCACCCAGGAAAAGTGAGGTGAGGAAGTCATAGGCAGATTTTGCCCATGCCCAGCCAACCCAAGATGATTGTCTTCACAACACATTGAGAGTTTATGCCCTGGCCAGGGCACTTAGCTCAGCCCATGGCTTCGTTGGAAGGAAAAACCTAGGTTCTAACTCTGGCCTGTAATTAACAATCTGTGACCCTGAGCATGTTGCCAAACCTGTCTTAGTTTCATCCTTCTCTCTAGCACTATAGTATTTGTATCTCTTACTTAATAGGTGCCTGATTATCATTGGTCGATTGATTCAGCCCTCAATTGACCTTTACCTATATGGTGCTTCTGAAAATCACCAGAAAGTTCCACAGTCTAGGGACTATTGATGTGGGTGCCTTTGGGAGTAGAGGTGGCTGACTACCATTGTTTTCTAAGCTTCAGTGCTCTTTGTCCTTCAGGAATTTGTATTTCTACAGTGAGAACACCCATGCAGGGCTGCTCCTCTCTAAAAGGATCTCAAGCTCCTCTTAAAAACAATTTGGATGGGACTAGTAGATGGCATAATGGTTATGTCACTGGACTCCCACATAGCCAGCCATGGTTCAAGTCCTGGACCCAGTGACTTGAAACTCATGCCAGTGTATGTATGTGTGTGTGCGTGTCCAAAATTCTGAGAGGAGAAGGGATTATGGTGTGACCATCTCCAATCGGGGGGTGAGGGGTGATTTCTCACTTTCTGTCTGTCTCTCTCTCTCTCTCTGGTGAGCACACATGACCTATAGCAAAAATCTCTCTTAAAGAAAAAAATCTTGACAGAAGTCCCTAAAAAGCCTTGTCTAACCTGTGATCACTGCTGTAGAAAAGGATGAAATGTAATGATTCTGTCCATGTGTCCTATGGGCCTGGAAAACAGTCACAGTTATGAGAAGACTTTAAAAAGTTCATGAAAAATATTGAAATCTATTTATGATTGCCTCATAATACACCTCTTCTATGAACTTTTCGATGACCCTTTGTATATCCAACCAGCGGCTCCCTGGCCCTCAATATTTATTTCTCCCTTGAGCAAGAGGCAGAGAGAGACAGAGATAAGGAGCTACCATCCCCAACAGGGTCTTCTTTTTTTTTTACCCAACAGAGTCTTGATGCCATGATCCACCCCCACCTTCAGCCACCCACATAGCATGGGCACACGAATGCCTGGTATACTCAGGAAGATCCTCCAGACGTGAACCTGGAATGTTCCCATGAGGATCAGTGTGATAGTGCCATATTTTATTTCTGCACCACTGTCCAGCCCCCTTCACAAGCTTTCTGAAGTCACCTTGTACACCAGCACTTTTTCCAGCTCAACTCCCTAATCACTGTGTGCTCTAGGGCTATGGGCTCATCACTATTGCTCTGCTGCTTCCTCTGTAAGTAGAAGGAGCAATAAGCCATCACAGGCTGATGCAAGAATTTTAAGAGTCAGTCCATGCAAGTGCCCTCAATTTTTGAGAGATAGTTTAACTGGGTACAGAATCTTAGAAAAAAAAAAACTCTTCCTCCAAAACAACATTGCTATCTTCTAGCTTCCACTATTACGTTTCAGAAGCCCAATGCCGTATTGATTCCAATTATTTTCCTAAGTGTCATTTAATTTTATCTCTGAAAGCTTTTTGTGATGTATCTTTTGGTACAAGTCGTTTTTTTGATCTGGCTCTTCATGTGCTCTCTCTCAATTTGAAAATGTAATAATTTAGTCTTGAATAAACTTTTTGGATCATTTCTTTGATACTTTTCTCCTCTCCATTTTTTCCTAGTTTCTTTCTCTTGACCTCTAACTAGTCAGATGTTTGACCTCCTGGATTAATCTTCTAATTTTCTTTTTTTTTTTTCTTCAATTTTCACTCTCACTTTTTCCCCCAGTTTTGTAAAAATTGTCCTTATGGGGGCCAGCAGGTAGTGTGGTAGTTAAGGCACTGAACTCCTATATGGCTGACTGTGGTTCAAGTCCTAGACATGGAGGCTTGCTTTCTCACTTTCGCTCTCTCCCTCTGGTCAAATTGAATACTAATAAAGTTAAATAAGTAAAATTAAATAGATAATTATTTTAATTTTTTTCTTATGTTCTAGTCCTTTTACTATTTTATATCATTTGTTACTTTTATTTCTAAAGTGTGTTTTTGAGTTCTGAAGTTTCTTTCATTTTCTTAGAGAGATTTTAGCTTTAGGGCACACCGGAGAGACAGAGAGACAGAAAGTGAGAAATCACTCCTCAGAGGAGATGGCCTTTCCACAGTCCCTTCTTCATTCTCCTCTCAGGATTTTGGGCTCGCATGCACATGTGCCTGGCATAAGTTTGAAACCACTAGGTCTGGGACTTGAACCACGGTCAACTATGTGGGAGTCCCAGCAATGTAACCATTACACCATTTGCTGGTCCCTTGAAGTTTCTTTTTAATAGCCTCCTATTATTATTTCAGGGGTGCAGTATCTTCTATCTCTCTAAGAATACCAATAGAATGCGGGTTTAGTTTTATAGGTCTTTCTGTTAGTTTGTTTTTCTTCTGTACACTCGGTGTCTTTGCTTTCTGAGTTTTCTTTTTCCTGTGTGTTATTTTGGTCTTTGTCTTTCACGTTAGAGGCAATCTGTCATGTTTAATAGCCACTTTGCGCTAAATTCCATGGGCGTGGCAGGCTTACTTTCTCATGGACTGGATCTCTAGGTGTATTGAAAGGATCTCCTCCAGCTGGGCCCTGATTGGGGTGGCCTGCTGGTGACCAGCTCATGCCTTCTGCCTGCAGACCTATTTCTGAGAGCTCTTACAGAGTGAGTTGGGCCTCTGGGGACAGGACCATCATGTGGCCTGGCTCCTCCCACTCAGAGTCCGGTGGCTGAAGCCTCACCGTGGACTCCTGCTGCCTCTTTAGAGTTCCCTAAAGTAGCCAGCCCCTATCCTATTGGTGAAGCCCATCTGAGGGCCCAGGTCATGGGAAAGCAGCCTCGTTCAGGGGGCAGGTCCTGAGTTCTGGGAGCAGAGCCATCAGCAGCAGCAGTGCTGACAAAGGCAGATGGCAGGTAGACTTGGCAAATACCATCCTGCCGTGGGTGCAAAGAGCCTGGAAGTGAGAGGCTAGGAGTGAGGGCACAGGGAGCAGAACAGAGTCTTGGGGCCTGAGGCCCTTGTTGCTGATCCAATGAAAGCTTCTCTCTCTTTTTTTGGGGGGGGCGG